ATATATATATATATATATGACTCATTATATTGTAATGTTAAACAGTAATGTAAGCACATCCCACCTAAGATAAAAAATGTAATAGTCTATGTTTTTCATACACGCGTACATACATATAAATACATTAAAGTTTATCATAGTTACCTAGGACGTAATGCGCGTAAAGGATAATTCATAATATCTAATAACTATATACAGCTCGGTTTCGAATACATTTGAAGTCTATGTATAAAAGATAATAATAATAATAATAACAATAATAATAAACAGTTTCGACAAATCATGTAACTGCCATGACTTTAGATGTATTTCAATTTCGCAGATGGGAGATGATGTATTTTAATTTCGAAATGAAAATATATATTGACAAAAATAAAAATGGAGTACATACGATGCCTGATTTCACTATAAAGAGAAAGGAAAGGAAACAAAAAGAAGCAAAATATTACTTAATTCAATATGATATCCGAGATATGTGTCGTGCTTATAATATAATTAATATATATATATTAATATACATAAACACTTTTGAAATACTGCTGACGTTCATCTAGCGAGTCTTCGAGATCAGACGTCGGAAATGATTTTCGTCGTGTGCTTAGCTAATACTATCTCTGTTGTTATTATATGTTTACTCTGACTTTCAAAATACAAATTGTAAATTAGCTGATATGACCTATACATGTGCATGCATGTGCGTGTACTCGTTTCTCATATCTCTCTCTCTTTCTCTCTCTGTTGATTCTTTTGTTTAAAAATTTTCACTTTGGAACATGAACAAAATCGCACGGATTTTCCAAGCTTTGATGCACAATGACATACGTATTATCGACGTTATTACCATTATCACTAAAATATACGTGTACTCACAAACTGGTACACATATGTATTTGTATTGTGCCATTTTATTTTTGACGTATTTTACGAAAACAAGAAAGTCGTAAAAGCGAGAGCGCACCATTCGATATGGACGATGCACGCACATGTCGAGAAGAGAAAAATAAGCTATTTGAATAGACGATAAGGCATATATATTAGAAAATAATCTCGCAAGCGTTCGTGCGATAATAAAGTAAAGGATGATGGGCGGATGTCATAGTGCAGCCATGTATAACGGAAAGAAGAGGACTTTGCTCCGCGACACATCGTCGTATCGCAACTGCAATTTCGCGGAAATTCTCTATTAGCGACAAATACTGACCTATAATCGGCGATAGTCTGTAAAACATGAAACGAGATTCGAAATTTTCAAAATCCTATATTCCATTCAAGCGAAATTAGAAAAATAATCCCGCATGTCCTTATATTCTATAATTCGCATAAAACTCTAGATTTCTAAGAAATGTCGCAGAAACATCTCTACGAGCATTTATAATTCTAAAGAAGCAATTCTTTTTAGACATTCTTTAAACTATCCTAAATTTTTGAGGCATTGTTTAAACACTCT